AATAAATTCAATCCCTGTGCCCAGGTGTTTTCAGTTCTTAATATGAGTTTTTAATTTAAAAAAATTTTTTTTTATTTTTTTGGAGACAGAGTCTCAAGCTGTCGTCCTGGTAGAGAGCTGTTGCATCATAGCTCACAGCAACCTCAAACTCTTGTGCTTAGGCGATTCTCTTGCCTCAACCTCCCAAGTAGCTGGGACTACCAGCACCCACCATAATGCCTAGCTATTTTTTTTGTAGTTGCAGTTGTCATTGTTGCTTAGTAGGCCTGGGCCAGGTCTACGAATCCACCACCCTAGGTGTATGTGGCTGTCACCCTTGCCGATTTGAGCTACAGGCACCGCCCTAATTTTAAATTTAAAAAAAAGTTTGAATTGCAGTATGGTACATCAAAGAAGTAAGCAAATCTTAAGTATTCAACTTAATGAATTTTCACAAAATAGCCAGCACACAGATGAATAAACGGAACTTGAGGTGCCCACTTTATGTTCCTTCCTAGTTACTGTCCCCTAAGGATAACTGCTAGCCTAACCATAGATTAATGTGGCCATTTTGTGAACTTTATATAGATGGAATTTTATCATATATACCTTTGTCACAGGAGTCTTTCATTCATATTTGTAAGATTTCATATCTGTTGTGTCCACACTTAGTTTGGCTCATCAATTACCGATTGTTACATGATATTCCATCCTGTGAATATTTACACTTTAACTTTTTAAAATTGCTTTTAGATACTATATAATTTACCTATTCAAGGTGTATAATTGTTTTTTAGTATATTGACAAGTATATTTGTTCAACTGTCAACACAGTCTTATTTTAGAATATTTTGTCCCCTCCAAAAGAAGTCATGTGCCTATGAGCAATCACTACCCATTCTTTTTAACTTCCCCTCATCTGTGAACAACTGCTGATCTATTTTCTCTGTCTCTGAATTGACCTATTCTGGACATTTCATATAAATGCAGTCATACAATATGTGGTATTTTGTGACTTGCTTCTTTCGCTTACCATATTTTTAAGGTTCTTCGTGTTGTAGCATGTATCAGAATTTCATTACTTTGTGTAGCTGAATATTTCATTGTATAGATATATGATATTTCTTCATCAACTGATTGATAAGTGTTTGGATTTGCATTTTTTGCTGTTGTAAATAATTCTACTATAAACATGTTTTTGTGTGGGAATGTTGTTATTTCTCTGGGTATATTACTTAGAAGGTAAATTGCTGGGTAATTCTGCTTTTTGAGGAACTGTAAAACTTTTCCAAAGAGGATGCCTCATTTCATGTTTCCATTAGCAGTATGTGAGGACTCCAATTTCTGCAGTGTTGCCAGCAATTGTTACTGTCTATCTTGGATCATAGACATCCTAGTGAGTATGAAATGGTATCTCCTTTGTGGTTTTGATTTGCATTTCCCTAATGACACAATGAGCATTTTTTCATGTTTATTGGCTGTTTATCCTTTTTTGAGAACTGTCCAAGTTAGTTGTCCACTTTTAAATTGTGTTACCTTTTTAGTTTAGGGTTGTGGGAATTATTTATATTTTCTGGATATGAGTCCTTTATCAGATACATGATTTCCAAATATTCTATCCCATTCTGTGGGTGTTCTTTTACTTGATGGTATTGATTACAACACAAATAATGAAACGTTTTAATTTTAATAATGTCCATTATTTTCTTTTGGGTAGGTTGTTCTTTTGTGCAGTTTAGCTTTTAAACAAGCATTACTTAATTTGGTTCTATGGCACCAGGCCTCTTACATTGTCTGGAATTTAATTTTATGAAGTAACCTGGATCTTTCATTAATTCTATCCTATTTAATTTTCTAGAGATGGGTTGTGTTTAAGGACATGAGTTGTATTTAAAAATAAGTTTGCAGGAATATATTTTCTCATAGAAACTTAGCAGCCTCCAAGTGGGGGATTTTTTCCAAGTTCTTGGTGATCAGCAAGTAACAGCTTTTATTTCTTATTGAGACAGAGTCTCAGTTGGTCACCCTTGGTTTGTCTCAGCCTCCCGAGTAGCTGGGACTA